CTTGTCCTCCAGTCTTCCATGCACATGTATGCATTGCGCATGCTAATTAGTCTCCCAGTCGGAATGTTTGGTCTTCACGTGTTTCCATCTCTGCTTCAACTTCAGGTCGTCTGACGCGTCTGTGTCGCGCCACGCACATATGCACCTGTGCTCTCGCCTGCAAACTTGTATCTGCATCTGTGTTGAACTCCTCTTTCAAGACCTTAACAAGGTCGTCCTCCGATCTGAAGAAGGAGGAAATATCGAAGTCACATCATTTCTGTAAAAAGACGCTTGCAAGTCATTTGAAACATCGTTCCTCGTGAGACCAACTTCAGGTCAACTGCCTCTCAAAGGGCAATCTCCTCTGGAGAGGCCAACACCGAAAAAGTGTTGTAAGTCTCATTGCAAACCCAGTTCATCCTAATCGTATTGTCCCGACAACAAGCAAGTTCCTGCCGGGGAAAGTTCTGGAGAGTGTACATCAACCGCACACAAATGGAGTTCACCTTTCTATGTACTAATGATCCTCCTTTCAGTGCTCCTAAAAACCTGTGGACAAACATCTCATCAGCTTCCGAGCTGAGCCTATACACCCGGAGAAATCTGCGGATCTCTCTGTCATCCGTGCCCATGCATGTCTTACTGGCATGGGATCCTACCAATTTCTTCCTTCCGAGATCAGTTGACTTTCTCCAAAAAATACAAGCGAAAGAAATCATCACACCGATGATCAAACTGGCTGCAGCTATGACCTTTTCTTTCACGGGTGAGATGTTGCCTATCCACATGTCCCCTTTTGGGATGTGCACTCAAGCAAGATCAAACTATTCGCTTGACTGTCCTGGAGCTGCTGGCACTTCACTTGAGGTGGACGATGATGAGGAGTCTGATGTGGCCGAACTTGGTCCCGCCTTTCCAGCACACCTTGCAGTAATGCGTGTACTCTCCTGCCTGGCATGGTGAGATATTCTGTTGCTGACTTGAAATTCATCTCTCTCCCCATCCAACAGGCACGTTTCTCCTTTGTGACATTGCCCGTCTCTGCTATCTTGCCCAATCGGCTCCTGTGCTGTGTTTCCTACTTCTCTGCAAAAATCGGTGAGGCCAGTGACCTCAAAATGTTGAAGAATGCGATCAACGCCCACATCTCTGAATGACATGGCACTCTCAATTATGTCTCTCTCATCCAGTTCTTTGTGTCGCTCTTCTTACCGATTTTGCAAGCTGTTGTTGTAACCTAGCAATGACACTTGTACATCCTGATGCAAGTGTCTGACCTATCTGGCTTCCAACGCCCCAGCATGTCGCGCTCCTCCTTCTGAGCTCTCAGCAAAGCCAAGCTCACTGTATCTTTCAATGCTCAGTCCAAAAGGCTGCCAAGACAGGATGTATGATACAGTCATCTTTGCCAGGCCTTTTCAATGTGCGCCTGACCCTTCATGAGGATGCACTAATGTCGTTGTATGACGCCATCTTTACGAAAGGCTGACCATTCATCATTCAGCTTTGGAAGCAAATAGTCTCTCTCAAAGGGTGCATGCTTCTTGAACAAGTCAAAACCAGTCTTCAGCCATGGTTCGAATGCTCTGAGACACAAACTGGAAGCTCTTGTCGTTTCGATCCCTGAATGTAGTTCTCAAAATGGTTGTCAAGCGTCCTCCATAGAACGAGCTCCTTCGGGATGATTTTCTGCATCATCCCAACGAAGAGTTGCCCATAGTTTCACCAGTTTTACCCATGCAACAAAACGGAAACCAATACGCTGACTTTCATCTTCAACAACATGTTCAAAAGCTACCATCATCACAACTGGAAACGTGGTGCACGCTGAGTTGGTGGCTTCTCCTTGGAAAGCATCTCTACCAAATAGTCCCTGACTGAGCAAACCGCCTGTGAGTCGCCTATTCTTTCACGTGGATCAATGTCTGCAACACGTTCCAGCCAAACTACAGCTTTCACAATAAGAGGTGGTACTGTTGCCCCGCACGGCTCTTCGAACCTTGTGAAAAGATACTCCACCAAATCACCTACTTCTGGACTGGCACTCATGCCACGCACTGCTGTAAGCCACTGCATGAAAGATCTCCATGTTTTGATGTATCGTTTCAGTGTATTGTGCCTGGTTCTACCTGCCAGTGCAGGATGTAGATGTTTCTGATCAACACAATGTTCCAAATGCAGTAAGGCCGGAGCGTCCAGACGCTTGAGTTCCTTGAACAACTCTCTGGACCAAGTCTCTTTCTGTCCCTGTTCTTTCTTCTGTCTCTCCTCTGCATTTTCTGTTGGAAAATTCCTCCTGCGACTTGGCCTAGAACTGTTGACGTCGAAAGCAAACTCAGTGAAAGTTGGTGCAACAGGTTTTGGATACAAAGTTGAACAGCGCTCATGAAGCAAGTTTCCATGTAATGGGTCCATGCTCTCGTCTCCTCTCAAACGTTTCTGTAAGGGCTCCGCATCACGAGCATCCCTGATGATCTCTGCTACCAGGTCAACATGTATCTGCTCACAAACCAGACCCAATTCCCTGCAAACCTGTAACGCAATGTTATCTGCATCATTTGGCAAGAAAACAGCAAGCTTCTTAGAAGACAAACCACATGACTGCAAATGACACGAAATCTGCTGTCTCAAAGTTCCCAGCTCCATGAGGCTTCGAGAAGGCTAGGCCCAGCCGTTCCCCCCATCTAAAAAAGTTGCACCAACCCTAACCGATTGATCCACTGGAAAATACACGGACATAAATAGATTTCATCAAATGAGTCTATACAACCTTTCAGGTGATTAAAAGGAGTTTGTACAGGACATCTTAAAAAACCAAGTTCAAGTGAACCAAAAAATCAAAACACGATCCGAGGAATTGAGATTTCTTCCGGATGGAAAAGAACCATCAAGTCTCAATTACCTGTTTGCCTTGAGTAAACCAAATCCACCGAACAAGCGGAACATGGGTGTTCCACAAAGTTGTTTTGGAAAACCAACCGGAAATATAATCAATACTTCCAATTACCCAAGGAAACAACCCACCGGCGTGCATCGCGGAGCGCAAGGATCGCGTAAGGAGAGTATTTGGGAATCAGATCAGAACAAAGAACCGGAATACGCCACACGGTCAAAACCGGACCAGGGTCGCGTATTACTTACTTCCAAACACACAGTCGCAACACGTCGCGAATGCGTGGTGGGACCTGGAAGTCCCAAAGCAGGATTTGCCCCCACACTGACAGTCGTTTCTTGAAGCTGTCCATCTCCTCCTTCCACTGGATCATCAAAGATGCCAGTTGGCTCAGGATGCTGCGCCACATTTGCACCTTCCCAAACCCAACTTGCGGCTGCTGTTCGTTCTCCTGCAGAAGATTCTCCTTGTCATGGATGGCCATGCTGGCTGTCTCATAGTCTTCACGCTGCTACTCAAGAGCTTTCTGTCTGACTGCTTCAGCGTCCTCATCATAGAACTTGGACGGTTCCACATCACAACTGGAGGATTGAAGCCATTTTGAAGCAAATATGAGTCTTGCGGCTCAATTTTGCCCAAGAACGCCATGCGTCTCCAACGTGGATTGCCCTTTGAGTGGCTCATCTGAAAACCAAAAATTAAAAACTGGCTCATCGAATTGACACCTCTTTCCAGAATAAGGCTTGCCATTCAACAGTTCAAAGCTTGTGATTCCACGATCTGCTGTCACACTGTATCTATTGATGACCCAAGCAGCATGCCTCTTGGCCCATGTCCAGAGAGGGTTTGAAGTTGAAAATTCAGTGCTAGATGGGTAAGTGCGATTCCCACCCTAAACCCTCCCAGAGGAAAAACGTGATACCCACGCAGCGTGCTCGTTACAAATTCTAGACACAAAAAACCTCGCAGAGATATTAATAAGCTACTTAGCGTGAGGCTATCGCCACGGTATACATATAAAAAATATATTGGCCCGCGTTATAAATAAGAGCAGCTTCAGCACAAGACATCAAACACAACAAAAATCAAACTGCAATATGCGACAAGGTGGAATGCACAAATCAGGAAAATGCGGCCGTTTCCTTTTTTCAATCTCCTTTTATCGTCTTGGATTGGATGGAATCCCCACCATAGGTTTTGGCTGCCATTAACTTCCGATGGCTACCGAGCCAAACCAACCCAGGTGTGGGAGGGTGGGCTAAAAAAGTGCTCCAACCCCATATTTGATCCACTCAAATGGATACGGTACATTAAGGAATTCAATTGCAAGGAAAATTCTATACATGAACAGAACCGGTGACATAACCCTTGTGTATGTCAACACGTTGATACTCCATACCTAAGGAGTAAATAAAGAGAACATCTTGTGAAGATTCGGTAGTGTTGTTTTACAACACCTCAATACCTAAGAAGCCTTCCAGATAGAACCAAGAAAAAGGGAAGCCGGAAACACTCAGCGGAGTTGTTTCAAAGTTTGGTTTGTTTATCTGGAAGTTGATCTTCAATACCTCCGAGTGTCTAGAGCACAAGTAGAGCGTAGGAGTCGCGTGGGGAGGGCGTACACCAGGAGTAAGAGACCGAACCCGCAGAGTCAGAACCGGACACCGCTGCAAGTTAATTACTCACAATCACACAGTCGCAACACGTCGCGATTGCGTGCTAGATGGGTAAGTGTGATTCCCACCCTAAACCCTCCCAGAGGAAAAACGTGATACCCACGCAGCGTGCTCGTTACAAATTCTAGACACAAAAAACCTCGCAGAGATATTAATAAGCTACTTAGCGTGAGGCTATCGCCACGGTATACATATAAAAAATATATTGGCCCGCGTTATAAATAAGAGCAGCTTCAGCACAAGACATCAAACACAACAAAAATCAAACTGCAACATGCGACAAGGTGGAATGCACAAATCAGGAAAATGCGGCCGTTTCCTTTTTTCAATCTCCTTTTATCGTCTTGGATTGGATGGAATCCCCACTCCCCACCATAGGTTTTGGCTGCCATTAACTTCCGATGGCTACCGAGCCAAACCAACCCCTATCTCGAGGTGGCCACCGTGCATCACCAAGGGCCAAGCCCCTTCGTACGTGCCCTCTTCTTTGCTGATTCTTTGGGTGAGGGCTCCATCTTTCTCTTCCGCATTTCCTCATGAAACTCTTTGGCATGTTGCAGAAACCTGGTGAGAACGTGCCATTTCTGCTCCTGCGGCACCCACCGTACGCGTTGCTCCATGTTGAAACTGTCAAACTTCATGTTGGAAAGGTCGTCTGCTAACTGGTTCCGATCTCTCCTCAGCCAGTCAAGCGCTAGGTAGCAATGGCCTAGCCGCAGAGATTCGGAAAGCTCCATCACCAAAACCGTAAGGGGAAATTTCGTTGACATCCATTTTGAAATGGCGTAGGCATTTCCCAGGTTGTCTGTCTTCCCCCTGATCCAACATTTGGCCCTGACTTCTCTGTTACCCACTGGCGCCCAAAGTTTGATCGCCACCAAGGTTGCAAGCAGCTCCAACGACGCAATCAGTCGCTTGGGGTCTTTCCGAAGACGAAGCCAGTCCGCCCAATCTTCTTTGACCTCCTCAGAAAACCAGGCCAGAACTTTGCCTTCTTGACTTTGAAGAAAGCCACCTATCCAAGCACCGCTCTCCGTGGCCCTGGCGTCTGTGAAGAAAAGAAGGTCGTCCACCTCCTCTGTCCCCCGTTTAAGGGGGGGTGCCTCTTGTAGCTGTCCGCCCTCCTTGAACCTCTCGCCCAGGAAGAGCAGGATAGCCCTCAACATAGCCGGGAGCCTCATCGTCCCTTTCTTGTTTCTGATTGCCGCCGACCAGCTGTATAGCGGGCCCAGGAAAAGTTTCTCCCACAGCAGCGCCAGGGCAGAGAAGCCCAAACGCCCAAGGCCCTGCTCAAAGACTTTCGGGGTCGTGCACCCTTCAGACGCCAGCTTCATGACCCAGCTCTGCATCCACTCTGCACGCTTCGGCGAAAGTCCTATTTTGTAGCTTGTGTAGTCTGTGAACAAGCCTATCCACTCAACACGCAGCCCTCCTCTCTGTTTGGCCCACTTGAAAGGGAAGCCCAGGCAGGACAGGGAAAGAAAACTGAGGGTGATGCCTCTGCGACCCCCAGCCGAAGATGCTATCGCTTCCAGATCGTCTGCAAAGATCAGCAAGTCGACAGGCATCTGGGGTCCCAACATTTCATGCATCAGCCTGATCCCGGCTCCTGCTATCCTTGCCCACCAATAGGAGGCACAGGCCAGTCCAAAGGTTCCAACCTTGTTGACGTATATGTACACGTCATCCTCGCTGATCCTGCAGGACAGCAAGCCACGCTCTTCAGGCGCATGTAAAAAGCGCCTGTGCGCCTTACTGATATCACCAACCAAACTGAAGACTGAAGCCTTGCATTGCTGAAAGAAGGCCAGCAAGTATTACTTTTCCCTGGAGCTTGGGCTCCTCACCTTGTCTCTGCACCTGATGCGGTTGTTGATCCGTGTCCCATGGGTGGCGTCGTGAATGACACGTCTTTTTCCCTGGTGGTTTTCTTCCACCAGGACTGCCAGTGAGGAGATGGCTATGCGCTTCCCATATTTGGCTTTGGCCTCCTTGACGGTTAGTTTTTCCATCAAGCCTTCCGCACACTCTTCCTCAAAGTGTTGTCGCACGAAGTCTTTGTGCGCCTCCACTGACTGATAATTCGACCTCCAAATTTCTTCCTGCATGTGCGGGTCGTTCTCCAATTTCCAGCTGGTCTGTTCTTCGAAGACATGTGGTGTGCGAGGTAACGGCAGGTCCACCCCAACTGGGTATCCCACCTCTCCTTGGAGGAGGAAGTCTCTATCCACATCACCTGAAATGGCCAGCAGCTCCTTGAAGAGCCTCAAGTAGAAGGGCTGCCCTGGTGCCCTGTAGTCCAGGGCTTCCAAAACACTTCCATGTTGCCGTAACTTGCGCATCCAAAGCTCCCTCAAGTTTTGTTTGAGGTTCTCATCACAAACTATATCACAGCCAGCTTCTCCCTTCACTGCCATCTCAAAGCATGCCCTATCAAGCTTGCGCTCATCTCCAAGGTGCTGAACTATGAGATCCATTGTCTCCTGTCGCAACTCTTGCCAAAAAACGCTGTTGTTCCAAATTCTCTTGTCTGGATCCCATCTTCCCATTGAAGGCAAGCCTGCTCCATCGTGAACTGTCGTTCTTTACCTGGTTGTTGACATTGCCTTGGAGGTCCATGTCCCCCTGTTAGCTTGTCGCCATCAGGTTCCAGGGTCGGAAAATCAGTGCTGTCTGAGTTTTGGAGTTTCCCTTCGTCAGCGATGGCAGGACTGATTTTCTGTTTTGCTAAAAACTGCTGTAAAACCATTGTTGCCACCCATTTACAAAAGTTTGACGGCCACTGTTCCGTCCCTGTTGTTGCAAAAGCACTGCCAGAGGTCCCCACCAACTGTCTCACCGCTGCACGTGACCGTAGCGGTCCAGTATAAAAACCTTGGTCATCAAATGTTGGGGGCCCTTGCACAAAGGACTCTGGCAACTCGCCTGCATGGGCCAGCAGCAGTCTTGTCGGCTTTAGGTACTCAGTCCCAAAGTCCTGCTGATAAAAGGCTATCGATTGCACCTGTTCCAGCTCTAAAAGTGCCGCAAATTGCGGCCACTGCCACATGCTTGCAGGCCTGATCCCAAAGTTTTCTCCACTTTTCACGGCTCCTAGGTCTTCAGGGTTCTCAAAAACTGCAATCCCTTCGGGCTGTCTCGCTTGCAACTCAAAAGCTTTATAGGTGAAGTCTGCCATTGTGTTCCCCCAGTTAGCTCTCTTGCGTTCAGCCCAAGATAGCCTGTCCAGCCCTCTCGGTTTTGTAAAGGCCCTCACAGGTCTAGGGCCCCGTCTGTTTGCCCAGACCACCCTTGAGAAAGTGCTGCATGGTGGGCTAAAAATAACCGCATCATACCGTCCAGAAGCAATCTTGTTTAACAAGCGTTGTTGCACCTCTGCACGGGTGAGATCTAAGAATGGTCTCACTTGTATGTCGACCATTTCCACTTCCACAGTCACTCCAAGTTGCTTTGACAGCCTGCGCAACCATGATGAAACTGAATTCTTCCGCGGCTTCCCCGAAAAAACATACAAAACCCTGCAAATCTTCTTTGAAGTTGGGTCTTGTGACCGTGCATTGTCTGTACCACCCTGTCAGTGTGCCCCGGTAGTGTCCGGGGGGTGCTTCTCCTCCTTGCAGTTCAGTGCATTGTGCCCCTTCTTGAAGCATTTGTTGCACACATGCGAGAATTTGCACTTCTGATAGCTGCACTTGCCCTGGTTGAAGCGAAAGCAAATCTTTGCTCCATCCGGCGTAACTCCTGTTCCTTTCCCTTTTGATTTCCCTTTTGCACCGGAGGATTTGCCAGCCTTGCCTTTGCCCTTTGGGTTCCAGTCACCCCAGGATTGCTGAGGATACGAACGCTTGCTGTATAAGGCCAAAGGTGTAATAAAGTGCCTCTCCTTTGTCGTCGGGCACTTCCAAGCTTGCTCCAAGGCTGCCCCTAGTCTGAGGCCATCTGTGATCATCAACGAGTATGCCTTCTTCCTGATCGCCTGCTCGTATGAGAGCACCAAGGTCCAAGGCGGCGACTGGATCTGGTTGCCTTGGAGGTCTGTTGAAGAAAGGCCCCATACATAGTCTCACAGCACATAATCTTTGTAACGCTCAAAAAGGTCACGCGTCACATCCTGTATCTCCTCTCTGTTGGTGTGCTTGATGGCCAGCATGAGGATGGCGTTGACCATGACTGTAAGGCGCCGTCGCAGCTGCTCTGGACCAGTCGGCAGCGGGATGGTCGATGCCCCCTTTTTCACCGACAGACTGCCCTTGGAGTCGAAGATGGGCACCAGGACATCGGGGTCGACCTCATCTTTGGAGACCACTTCTGTCATCGTCTCCGCTCTGAACTCCCCGTTCTCCAACTCCTGCAGCTTCTTCTCCAGATACTCCTTAGACGGAGTCACTTTGTCTTCCAATCTGCCGTGCACCTTCATGTAGGCGTTTCGCATGCTGATGTAATCACCCGTGGCTATCGGTTTCGTCCACTCACGGGTGTCCATCTCAGCCTCCACCTCCATCTGTCGCTTCTGCTTCGTTTGCGTCTCCCTCCAAGCGCAAATGACAGCTGCCACCTGCGCTCTTGAACGCAAGTCTGTGCCTGAGTCCGTGTTGAAGGAGTCCCGCAACACGCTCACCAGATCATCCTCTGTTCTGACAAACGATGAAAACTTCTGCAATGTCGTAACCTCGTTCCGGTAAAAGGCAGCTTGTAATTCATTCGAAACATCGTTCCTTGTCAAAATGAATTTCAGATCAGAGCTTCCTTTCTGCAGTGCTTCTTGCATAGCTATCTCTTCCGGTGAAGCCATGCCGTCCACAGGAGTCTACAAGTGTCGCAGCTAACTAACGTGTAGATGGATTTGTACAAATGAAGTGCAATGAAAAACGCAGTGAAAGATTTGCACAAGCTGATACCCTAGTCAATGTTTCTATGTCCTGTTCACCGATTGCTGAGCAATGACAGGAAAAAAAAATCTCTGAAAGAAAGCACAAACTGTCTTGGATCCGAGCTGAGCCGTATTCTCCGGAGAAATCTGCGGACTTCTCTCAAGACGGCCATGCTGATTCCGGCATGGACGCTAATAGATCTCAAAAAGAAAAACCTTCAAAGCAAAAGCATCAGTCCACAATGAATTTATCAAATCTCACTTCAGTCAAACCGGAGTTTCAACTCATGACTGCTTCCGAGCTCAGCTACCTGAGAATCCCCTTTTTTCTTACTCCATTCATGACTGTGCCTTCAACATCCATTAGGATGGTGCTCAACCTACAGCTGCTATTCACTTGACTGTTCTGATGAGCTACTGGCGCTTCTGGAACTCGACGTCGATGTTGACGACGATGAGTCGGGTGAAATCTCAGATGGTCTGGCCTTTGGCCAACATACCTTGCAATAGTGCGTAAACTCTTCTGAACTCGGCATGGAAAAGAATTCAGCTGAAGATTTGAAGTTCATCTCTCTTCCCATCCAACATCCCCCTTTGCTCTTGTGGAGTCTCTTGCACTTCTTTCCATTGTTGACAACTATAAACAAAGGAGCCCTCCGTTCAGTTCTCTCGCATTCAAACTCTGCCTTTCTTGCATCCTCTTCAGCGTCTTGTTGAATCTGTACTCCAAACGGAGGACCCCACATCGGTTCCTCCTCCACTGCGGTCCAGCCCGCCAACAACGGTGATCCTAAGGATTCCTCCAGGTATTGTAATATGTTGTCAACTGTCTCACTTGGCAAGCTCTCACATCTCGATGTTATCCAAGACAACGCACTCTCCACAATGTCCCGTTCATCCAACAATTGCGATCTGTCCCTCATCCTAGCTGTCTTTGCAAACTGTAACTGTAAACGTGCAATGACACCATTGTACATCCTCAAATAAGTGTCTGACCCATCAGGCTTCCACCTTCCAAGCATGTCCCGCTCTTCCCTTGGTGCTCCAAGCAGCGAAACCCCCGTGGGAATGGTCGCCCGCTCTGAGTGCTCTGTCCAGAAAGAAGAAAGCACCTGGTGGACGATAGGCTCCTGGAGTCCTGGTCTCTTCAGTTTGCGTCTCACCCTGGCGGAGTAAGAACTGATGTCATTGTATGAAGCCATCACCTTTCTGAATGCAGACCACTCTTCATTCAGCTTTGGCAACATGTAATCACGTTCAAAGGGTGCATGCTTCTTGAACAAGTCAAAACCTGTCTTCAACCAAAAAGGGCTAGAAATGTATGCATGCTCTGAGACGCATACTGGCAGCTCCTGAACACGTTTCGAGGGCCCTGTTGTCTTGGTTGAACGCAGGATTGTTGTCATGCGTCCCCCATAAAACTTGAGCTCCTTCGGGACAATCTTCTGTATGTCGTCCCATCTCAATGTTGCCCAAAGCTTCACCAACTTTATCCAGGCAACCAAACGGAAACCAACACGCAGTGATTCATCCTCTACCATGTGTTCAAATGCTTCCATCATGACAACTGGATACCGAGGTGCCCGCTGTGTTGGAGGCCTGTCACGTGACAACATATCCACGATGTAGTCCCTCACAGAGCAAACAACCTGTGATTCACCAATCCTTTCACGTGGATCTATGCAAGCAGTACGCTCAAACCAGACTACAGCCTTGACAATGAGTGGTGGGACTGTTGGTCCACACGGTTCATCATATCTTGCAAACAAATATTCAATAAGGTCACCAACCTCGGGGCTCCCACCATCTCCACGCACTGCTGTCAGCCACTGTCTGAACGCTCTCCAGACTTTGACATATCTCTTGAGAGTGTTGTGCCTGGTCCTACCTGCTAAAGCAAGATGGACATGTTTCTTGTCCACACAATGTTCCAAATGTTCTAAGGCCGGAGCATCCAAACGTTTGAGTTCCTTGAAGAGCTCACGAGACCATGCTTCTTTCTGGTCATCTTCTCTCTTCCGTCTTTCTTCTACTGTCTCATTGACATTGCTGTTCCTACGGCAAGGTCTTGACAAAGGCTCTTCAGAAAGAACATCAAATGAACATGCAGAGGTCGGCACTGGAAATAAGATCGTCCTACGTTCCTGCAACAACTGATCATGCAAAGGGTCCAGACTGCAATCACCACGTAGGCGCTTCTGTAAAGGCTCCTCCGATCTCACCTCTTTAATGAGGTCTGCTACAGCATCAACATGTTTCTGTTCACATACCACCCCGAGCTCCAGACAAACCTGAGCAGCTATATCATCTGCATCGTTTGGCATGTAAACTGCAAGTTTCTTGTTGTCCAAACCACAAGATTTCAACAGCTGTTGTACCATGTCCTTCACAGAATCGGACCCCATGAGTCTTCGAGAAGACTAGGCAGCGCCGCCCCCTACACACTAAAAAAGTGCTCCAACCCCATATTTGATCCACTCAAATGGATACGGTACATTAAGGAATTCAATTGCAAGTAAAAATTCTATACATGAACAGAACCGGTGACATAACCCTTGTGTATGTCAACACGTTGATACTCCATACCTAAGGAGTAAATAAAAAGAACATCTTGTGAAGATTCAGGTAGTGTTGTTTTACAACACCTCAATACCTAAGAAGCCTTCCAGATAGAACCAA